AAATTCCAACCCACAACTCCTCAACTCATTTTCAGGCAAACCTAGGGCCATTTGGAGAATGGGTCCCTCTCGCTGAGGCTGGCCGCGGCCTTGATGGAGGTCCTGGGCCCCCGGCCTTCTGGCAGCGCCGATTTGAGCGCCGCAGAGGCGGCGCTGCTGCGGCGCCAGCAGCAGCGCCGGGAGCGGAGCTGGGCGCAGCCGGCGGCTCCCTCGGGCGTTGGGCGCGGAGTAGAAAGCGGAAACCAAGGGAAACCCCAGGGAAACCAAGGAAAGTCATAAAACTGATGTTTTTTCACCAGGGGTCCCTAGACTCGGTGGTTTTTTAGCTTTTTGTTTTGGCCCTATTTCTTCAAAGTGAAGGTTGAAGGGGAAATATAGGGAGCCCTGTTCATGTTGTTTCCCTTGGAGTTTCCATTGAATCTTCCAAAAGGGTTCGATCCCAGAGAGTGCTTTGGGGGGGGGGGGTCAAAAGTGGTCTATAGCACCTCCTTTTAGGACCTACAAGGTACCAAGGCACTTTTGGCGAAATCGGTAGGGAAAATGAACTCTATAAGGGTTTGTTTGGTTCCTCGTCAGGTGCCACAGCTTTTCTTTGAACACCCCCAAAAGCATCCTATGTAGACACCCTTCCCTCAGGTGGACGTCACGGCCCCTGCTCCTGAGCCGGAGGAGAAGGACCGAGAGGCCGACATGGGCCCGAGCTCACCGAGTCACAAGGGTAAAACACGAGGTCATGGGAACGATATCCGTTACTCGGGGATCCAATTCAGCTGACCGTGTCACACAGAAGGCTCACCGAAAGGAAAGGGATCCGATTTGTTTTTGTTTTTTTTGTCTTTCTCCAAGCTTTGGAGAGAAACATATTGTAAGATGTGCAAATGCAATGCGTTGTTAACATGTCTGGCAACAACTCCCATTCTTCAGGGCAGAGGGTCCAGGTGGCTTTTTTCTCGGACCTTCGGAGGTGTCCAAAGGTTCCTTGAATTCAGTCCCTGTAGGAATCCACGTGGGAGGGTGGGGTCCTTCGGGAAGGGGTCCTCAGGTTGGGGGTCCTTCAGTTCTCTTTGCTGGGTTTAGGAAGGAATCGCTCGAAGCCCGGGTTTGATCGCAAGGCCCTCGAAGTCATGGGGCTGAGACTCCGAGGTCTGCTTGACCTCAAACTTTGGTATCACAGAAAGGCCCCACAACAATCCACAGGGTGGATGAAGGCTACGGGGGACAATCCCAACCAGGAATGGCTGCGGAAAGGGTTCTTTGCCATCTTGAAGCCACTACTAATTGGCTTTGGCGAGAACCCGTTGCCAGGTTTTGGAGTATGAACCACTTATCACAGAAAGAGCCGACGCATTTATGTATGACACCAAGTCGTTGCCAATGTGCAATCGGGGCCCGCAATCCCGGCCGTAGTGCCCACCCCTAAAACAAAATTGTTCGGCCCTTTGTTCAACAATCATGGTAGCAGAGTACGTGACAGGCTACCATCAGCTCAAAATGTCCCTGCCATTTCATGTTTTTTTTAAGAAAGAGGGGCATCACAGAAAGGGTATACCTCGCTACAATCCCGAATCTGCATAATGGACAAACCCTAAGATAGGTGCACTCTCGTTTAATTTACTTGGAACTCAAATTGAATATGAATAAACGTTTTCGGCCCCTTGTGATATATACAGGCGAGTATTTGCAGGCGCAGGTTACCTACTACTTACTACACCTTTATCACTTTCGGGGCGGAGCATCCTTGCATGAGTGGGTTTATTCACCTGAAGCGACCGCTGGGGAGGTGCTGGAGCAAAAGCTGAAGGCCGGGCTGGCGCCAGCATCATATCACGGAGCCCTCCAACACGCGAGCCAAAGCGGATGGAAAACCAAAGGAGACACCACGGCGCTTGGAGAGGTTCTGCGGAACCGAGGACGAATGAAGCCTAGAAAACCGAAGGGAACCAGCGGAAACCACTGTTTACCTGTGCCTGAAAAAGAAGCAGCTATTGTCAGCGTGTTGTTCAAGAGCGGTTGTTTCACGATCTTTTTCTTGGCATCAAGCACCCAAAGGTCGACAACAAATTGGCAAGCCTTGGGGGAACCTTCAAAATGGTTGAAATCACCATACTGGTTGGGTAACCCATTCAGCATGGGCACGGGGATTTTGTAGCTTCGACTGTTTGCGCACAGGCGGCCCATTCGAAGGCAGGTCAGGTATGCTCATCAGGCATCGATTCGTGGAAGCCAAGATGAGCAGAAAGTTTGCTTGCCATGAACAGGTGCGGTGCGGACATCAAGAAGCCATGTGGATTCTTTGTCCTACGTTGATTGCGGTACATCAAGACCATAACTTGATTCTGGATGTTGGGTATCATACGGGCTCGGACTCATTGAGTATTGAGTCTTGACTTTGGAGGTTCATTCACTCAAATTGGCCATCGCCCTTCCAGCCTGGAGGGTCCGACCGGTGGGTCTCAGGGTGTGGCGGGCAAAGGCTCAAGATGCGAATCAGAAAGCTACCCTCCGCCACGCTAACGTGGAATCTCCCAGGACCCCGTTGGAAGCCCATCTACAGAGGCCTTCTGGGAGCCTCCATGTTAGTCTAAGGGAGTGTATCCACAAAGGATGCCCTCAAAGAAAGGCACGCCCAAATGGGACCGCCAAATTGGAAGGCATCGACTTCGGCGTGGATTTTCTCCCTGATTTAGTCACGAGGGTGCCCTTTTAATTTGCTTTAATTTACCTGATACTCCTACTCAAACTACAAAAATGACTTTTTGTGGACACCACAAAAGACGTCCCCTAAACAGGAGGTTCCTCTAGAAATGGTGCGTTTGACTTCGCATTTGTTGGTTCCATGCTTGTCATGCATGGGATTCACCCTCCTCAGGTGACCCAGCGGCAGCTGCTGCAACTGCAGTTGGGGATGAAGCAGCAGCAGCTGGACCCGAGTTGCACTTGCTTGGCTCTTGAGCGCTGCAACACCACCCTTGGCCGTTTCCGTAGAGGGTGCTACTAACTGCTTGGTGGGGATGGTAAGGGCCATATTCATTATACATGTGAAGCACTTTGAATCAATATACAAACGCACAGACAAAACCATGTTTCAAGCACACAAGCTGCATGGCTTCATGTTTGCAAGCCAGGTGTTCAAGGCATTGAGTTTATTCCAAGGCTTGATGTCACACTCATCACATTTTGACACTAACCGAGCCTTCGCGCAGTATAAGGCCCCCCTCAGAACCAGCAAAAGCTCATTTCTGGAGCACCTGGTGTGGCCGCCCTGTTCATTGGAGGGTCGGGTTCTCCATTGCAGGGTCGTGAGAGCCTTACGGTTGGATGAATCTTACGTGCGACCCCTGAGAGATACCCTTGGAGGCTGTGTTTCTTGGTGGTCTCTTTATACCGGGGGGCCCTGCCCTCAAGGTCCGTGATACAGCCAATCGAGAGGAGCGGCTGAAAGCGCGGGTCAAGCGAGCGCCGCGGTATCAGAGTGTGCAGGCCAAGGCGGGCGTGACACGGCTCCCGTGATGTTCAACCCACGTCAGGTAAATAGGTCACGAGCCACAACCACAAGGTGGCAGGGTTTGGCAAGCACAAACATCACGGGTACAACCTATTTGCAAAGTGGGTTGAACAGCCAAGTGGAACAGTGGAGGCCCTGAATGTTGCAGATTGGGAAGGAAGCCAGTTAGGACCTTCTTATTGGCCATGATGTCTGGCATTTCAAACAATGTAGATCTCCTCTTGGAGGTATGCCGAACTGGCTCAAAACATGTTCCACAAGCACTACCCTGACGCATACGGAGAGGCACGTGATTTGCAGCGGAGGGGAGGTGGCAAACAGCCAACAAACGCACCAAGATCCGCATCCGATCTGGGTGAATTATAACGACCTCACACACACACACACACCAAATGGTGGTTTATGTGGGAAATAGCTTTCCAACCACCCTATTTCAGGTTGCTGACATATTATAATTCACCCAGATCCGACGTGTTTTAGTCGGCTGAAGTGGCAGCCCACCAGACCTCTCCAGGCCCGGCGTGCCGCACCGCCAAAGCCGGCGCCGGCCGCCGCGCCCGCGCCGGTGACGTCCGCGGCCTCCGCGCCCTCGGCCAACGCTTCCGCGGCCAATGCGTCGCCGTTTAGTCCCAAGGAGGGAGCAAAGCCCAAAAACTACCCAGAGAGTCCCTTGGTACCATGTGAAGAAGGCTTTTGGAAGGGGTAAAAGGGAGAAGGTGCTTGGACCCACTGGGCCATCTTGCTTTTTGTTGAATGCTACCACTTTGGGGCTGACGTTTCTGATGATCCCAGTCTCCCACTACTGCTATTTACTTACTTGCGTGGTAGGTAGCTAAGGGATGTGCACCCTTCCACTTCCAGCCTTCACAAACCCAACGGGACAACAAAGGGTTACTTACCACAATGGTAACTGGGACCGGGCTGATGATCAGAGAGGCTGAATACATGGGTAAGCACGAAGGGACTTGCAGGTGCTTGGGCTTGGGAAGGCCTTTAGAACTTGGGAAGGCCTTTGGCCCAGACAAGCCAAAGCAGCAGGGGGGGATCAAGGTCTATTATTGTTCCCTTCCCGTGCGTGTAGGCGCCAAATTAGAGGAACCCTGCCATTTTGGTGCAAAGGTCCGAGTGCCTTCTAAGGAGATGCTTGTATAGCCAATTTTTGAACCCCCCAACAATTCTGTACCAAGAAAGTTGCGGGGCCATTTGGCCCCCAGAAAAGCGATCAGGACAAGCCGGAGAAACTTCGCGGGCCGCCTCCGAGCTTGAAGAAGAGTCTGGCAGACGCGTACTTCAACAAAAAGGCGCGACCCAGACCTCAGGTCTCTGGGTGTCGCTCGTGTTGTTTGAGGCTCGGCTTCAAAAAAGGGTTGGCTTGAGAATTGGGTGTGCCACCAAAAGAGTTTAGGTACCACCTGCTGGTTTCAGCTGGATACTTGGATCCCCGTTTTCGAGGTTCCAACTGGGGCCCCTTTCCCCAATGGGCTTTTGGTAGCCCCCCCCAAAAAAAAACGAACAATATCATGTAAAAAGGTACCAGTAGATCCTGACGGTTTGTTCCGATCCTCAAAGGATTTCATGTCTGAAGCCAGGATGTTCGACAACACACATGATACAGCCCGTCTTTACGGCAGCTTTTGAACGGACACCGGCACAGCCTGCTGCCCATAGGCGGAGGTGGATCGGCAGAAGGCGCTGCTCCTGGAGAAGCTCCGACAGCGCCAGGAGTTCGGGCCCGGGGTGTTCGGTGGAGAGTACACCCCCGCCGGCTCTGCCGGTTTGATGGGAATCCGGCTGTGGGTCAAAACCGATGGGATCCCATTTTATTTTGGGGTAGGTGCACCACCCATTTTAGTCCATTTTAGTGGGGATTGGGCTGTTCACTGGGGGTACGGGGTTTTGACCCATGGCCATCCAACAATACAAACAGCAAGTTTAGGAGGTCCCATAAATGTGAGAAACACGAAGTTGGGTGCCTGGACCCAACTTCGTGAGTAAGGTATAACCATGGTGCTAAATAACTGGGGGTAGTTTCTTTATAACCTCCAAGGGTCCGAGTACCTTCTAAGGAGATGCTTCTGCCCCTCCTTGTCCCTAAAAAGCCATCCTCCAAGAGTACCTGGCACCCTTAAGGAAACATGGCTGTGGGTCAAAACCAACGGTACCATTTTGGGGTTGGTGCACCACCCATTTTAGAACCTATTTTAGTGGGGATTGGGACGTTCACTGGGGGTGCGGGATTTTGACCCATGGCCACATGTATTTATACCCTTACCAAGTTGAACATCCAGTCCAGGAGTTGCTGACAGCCAAGTCGGCATCGCCCACTGTGGTTCCGGATGCGCCCGATGCGACGAATGCGCCGAATGCGCCGGAGCCCGCGCTGGAAGCGCAGGCCGGGTGGATGGGTTTGCCTGGCCTTCTGGGTTGAAGCCTGGTTGAGCAGCCTCCAGCAGACCAACTCAAACCGACTAGAGGAAAGTTGAGCACGCCTTTATGTCATGTTATGCCCCAAGACCATGCTGTGTCAAGATACACTTTGTGATTGTTGGCTTGCTAACTTCCGCAGCCCAGACTCTGGATGATGAAGTGCTGCTTGGGTCTTGATGTTGCCATCAAACAAGACACAAAATAGGTGTGTGGCAAACAGCCGCAAGTGCACATGTCAAAGCTTGGGACTTGTATGGGGACGGTCTTCAATGCAAGTGTTAAATGTTGCCGACTTTTGTCTACACATGTCCATGTCGCAGTTTAGCTAGTACGTACCTAAGATGAGATCATATTATGCACACACACACAGCGAATGCTCACTCCTGGTGAATGACTGGGCCAACATCGAAACATGAGTAGCCCTGTTAAGCATTCCTTCACGAACTATCCTCAGATGGTGAAGTCTTAAGCATGATGGGCCTTGCTGTGATGACAAGATTTAAATATCCAGTATTCATAGGGCTTTATCCATCCAAATTGGCGGAGGATGTTGCTCATCCACATTTTGTCTAGGCCAGAATTTACAGGCCATTGCTTTCATTCGGAGCCTCACTGCTTGATCCACAAAGCCGCTGCAGGCTGCGTCTGCAGGCCCATGAGTCGCGCCTCACGCTCGGAGAGTTCGGAGAGTCAAGTAAGTCACTTTGGGTTGAAACAGGCACAGATTCAGAGCCACAGCTCTAGCGACTAGTGACTAGGGGCCATTGAGGGCCATGACCGTTGGCTCTATGGCTTTAAATCAGTGAGCAAGTACGAGCTCACCTAAGGGCGAACCGCCCTCACGTATGAAGGTCCCGTATGGGCGTCCGTCCTTCCGAAGTGTGAACTGGGTGTGTCTTATTTCAAGGGTATATTTTTAAATTAGAACTGGGCAAGGTTGTTCCGCTCTCGAGATTATGTCCATGGGCAAGTTTGCATCTCAATTTGGTGGGTAAGGATCCAAGTCGCGGGATGTTGGGTCAAAGTCAGCTTAGCTCAAATCCGCAGGGCCAGCGCCCTCTAAGGACACTTTCACAACCCCAATAAAAAATGACAAACATAGCCCAGATAGATGGTGTCTCCATCAGCCCGAAACCCCTGGGTCAACCCTTCGGAGCCCGAATACGCCCGGAGCCGCCCCAAATCACTCCTAGCAAGGGAACCTCTTGGCATTGCGAGACTGCTTGAAGTACTTCGAGTGTCCTGCTGTTGTTTTTTAAGGCTAGTCATACAACCCCTATACTACATCTCCAGGGGTGTGGGTGTGTCTGAAAGGCACCCTTTTTGCGAGCCCAGGTGATTTGGCAAGGATGGTGGGATGGGAATTTCAAAAGAAAGACCACTTGAGATTTTCCAGCAACAGCCAGGTGCCTGGACCCTCAAACCCATAAGAATGGCATAAGAATGGCTTGCCTCAAAAAAATGTGAGGTCAACCAGTGGGTTGAGGTACACTTTCAGGGGCCCATTGCCCATTCGCGATCTCCACTCGCCGATCTTGCCAGGCCGCGAGGACGCTAAAGTTTGAGAGAAAAAGCTGCAGAGCGCGTTGTTTGCCCCCGTGACATCTTTGGAACACTGGTGATACGAGGAGCCGCCGGGACCCCATAGTTTGGAGAACTCAAAACGCCTTCCCGGCCCTTTTGGGGGCCTGTAGCTTGGTGCTGCGGCCAGTATTTTCTTGGTTTCGCGGTGGGGCGCGGGGAGGGTAAAATGAGCGAAAACCCAAGATGTAGGTGCTGTACCTCATCAAATGATTGTTGGTTGTAACTAGTATGCAGCTGCAGCAAATGGGAGCTATAGTGCCAGCGTATTTGGTTGGGGTGCCCTGCACCAGATTTTGAATAGCTTTGAGACAACTTGCTGAAAAACTCTGAGTCGACCCTCGGATCAGGGCTTAGCTTTCCTTCCCAAAAAGAGGTACAGGTTTTGTCAGAGGGCATAGGGCCCCCCTTTTCAGTATTCCTGAAGCGCGGTGACTGATTCGTTGGGGCTAAAGAGAAACAATTGACTGCACCAGGAGGAAGCCGCTTCAGAGAATGGAGTCAACCCCCGGCCTGCAAGTTAAGACACCGATTCCCGAAAGATCCAAAGAGGGGTGGTCAGGTTCCATGCAAATTTGCAGTATCTGGACCCTCAAAAGAAGGATCAAGCCCCAGATTCCTCCTTTGCTGACTCAGGGAAGCGCCCGCAATCTCCGAGGTGGACTTTGTGGCATGCCTGGAGGGTGCCCCGGATATGAAGCTCACCGTGCATGCCAAGGAAGTGAGACTGCCGGGCCCCCGACCCCCGGGCCCCTGGGCCGCCGGGCCCTTGCTTGTGATCAGATGGCCCCAGCTTTTTGTTTCTTTGTCTGCAGTGGGCCAATTGCAAAGTGAAAACCATCCTTAGCGTGATGGTTAAAGGAGTTTCAGGGAGACCTGAGTGCAAAATGGTCGAAATCTGCCTTGCAGGATGTAAATTGAGGGGTCTAAACAAAGCGGATCTAAATCAACAAGGGGGTCTGCTTGACCAGGGTACCCGAGCTGTATCTCTACAAGTTGGACACCTTAACCCCCCCCCCACCCCGTGGGTTGCCATAGTTTAGGGATGTTCCATCCGTTCAAAGAGAGCGCTTGCACATCAGCAAATCTCTGTTGTTCCATGGAGAACCGAGAGATGCGTTTTCCTGGTTGATTGCCTGACATGGGTTGAACACCCACCCACCCTGGCCAGAGATGCCTGCACTTTTAGCTTGGAGTCTTCTTGGGTTTCCTTCACTTCACTTACCAACAAAAACGTCTCGCTTTTGCCGGGGTTCTACACTCCCCCGTAAGTTTGTTCCCAATAAAAGGGGTACTCTAAAAGGCTATTTCGATGCACAACATGGCTTCTCAAGTATTCCAAAATAAGATTTCTAAATCATGCCAGGTGTATCCCAGTTGCCCACTACAGTAGGTAACCAGCTATTTTCCTTCTGTGTTTTTCAAAGAAGCCCTTCAAAATCCTACAGAACCTTAAATGGATCGGGATGTGTAACCCGGATCTGAGGTGTGACATGCAGGAGGGCCATACCACTCTGTGCGGCACGAGGGCCTCGGCCGGGGAACCCAGGATGGGATCAGATGGGAGGATCGATCAACTGTTCTGCCTATGTTAGAGCGAGCTCACCTAGGGGGAAACGAGCTCACCATGATAATCAATGATATCCAGGTTCTTCACTGGGGATCCAACGTAATTCAGCTTTTGGATTTGTAACATTGCAGATAAAAGTAAAAAATGGGAACCCATCCACCACCTTCTAGGGGCACCATGGCGCACCCATGTGTTTCACTGCGGAGTTAGAGGTAAATCCATGCCCGCCCATGTGGGAGTTTCTCAAAGTGAAGCCCTTTCCGCACTTTAGGGGACTGATTCCGACTTTGAGAAGCATCCGTGTCGACCCCGGTTGATTTCCGACTCCTCTATGGGAATGACCGCCTTACCCGAGATTTCGCTAGTTGAAATGGAACCCGAAAGACATCCGCGTTGTTGAGCACAACACAAGGGGGGTGTGCGAAACGAGGTGCGTCCCAAAATATGGGGGTTTCGTGGTGTTTCCGTGTAATTTGGGGAGTAATGAAACTCCCGAATTGGGAGGGCTGGCGTTCCAGCCAAAATGTGAAGTCTTGAAAGACAATCCCTTATCAGATCCTACACTATAAAGCTTCCAGGGCTTTATGACCTTGGGTCATAGATCAACTCATAGCCCTCACAGGTTAATAACAAACAGGTTGATTCGAGGGAGGGGTTCGACCCCCCCCCCACACCTTTTCCCGTGCCCCGAAAAAATATATAATTGTTTGCCTTATGAGTCTACGGCCTGCGGGGGACTTTCTAAAGTACAAACCTGGAAAGGCGGTTTTTTTGCCAACCACAAGTAATATCTATATATTGAGCCCTCATATCTTTGTATATATCATAATTGGTTTGGAGAAGCTAATTGCAGATGTGTTTTGGGGCCTGCTCAAATGAAGTGGACACGTGGACAACTGGACTCCATTGGATCAGCATGGATCAGCACTCTTTTCAAATGCTGCCTAGTCCATTTCGCTCGCATGGGGTTTAATGGTCAAGAGGGGGTACGGTGGATGCCCTAAACATTGCATGGGAGGGAGCAAGGACATTCTTCACTATAGTGTAATTTAGCATGGTGTTGTGGTTGAGTATGATTGGTCAACATGGAATACTTAGGGCAGCCACCGAATCATTGGTGCAACTAGTGAGGATCTATGAGGACAGCCGCGGGTGGGCTACTTACTGGCTGCATAGTTCGAATATGGCAACTACTGTGGGAAAAGACTGATATGAAGAGTCAGACCCCGGCGTTTGGCGAAGGGAAACCACACTGAGGCATCTGACCAGGGAGACGCGTGATCAAATGAGCTTTGGTAGAGCTTATCTTGGACGGAACCCTGAAGGGAACGAGGCAAGGACCAGCTGCATCCTGCCACAATGTGTGATTTGTTCTTGACACCTGGTTCATCCCAAGGAAAACCACCAACAGACCACATTCGTAGGGTTTGGTTTGCCTTTGCAGAGTGGCACTATCGCGCCTAAACTTGAGCCGGTGGTTTGATATCCATGTTACCCCTTGTTTTGTGGGCCCACGCCGGGTTTGGGGGAAATGCGGTACCCGTGAAAGGCCGCCCCTACCTGGCCGATGGGGTTGATCACCATTGGGCCCCATTTGCCCACTAAATGGAACAAAAGCTTTTCATGGTCACTTGAGGGCCACGAAGTTCATCAACCCCCATTGGCTTGATTTATGCCCGTCCGGATTTGAGTGGCTTTTGTTCTCATTCTCAAAACAATTGAAGAAGTGGACCAACACCCAGAAACGGGAATTTGCTCTAAGGGTCCCTTGATGCCTTCCAGGAAACTTGACCCCTTTGAATGCTAGACATGCATTTCATTTTGATGGCCAAGTGTTTTGAAGAAGCTGGGAAGTCAACCCCTTGGAGAATCGGGTTAGTGTAGGTTGGTTTAGCATTCCATCATCCGAATAACCCAAGACACATTCCCCATTTCAGAGTTTCAGAGGCGCTCTCAATTGCTGATGCACGTGCTGAGTGCGCAGTGAACGCGATCATCCAGCCCTTTGCCATTGCCTCATCCGCTATTGCTGTTTTGCCAGCTCTTTTCGCCAATCTAAAACTAAGATGTCCTCACAGGCGGCATGCTGAGACGCATTCTCGAGAAGTACCTGAATGAATTGTCGAAGCAGAGGGCTGCCCTGTAGCAGTACTGTAGCATGTTTCTGCTTCGTAGCTTTGCAGCTACGACCCCCACACATTCCCCAATTGCAGGCAGCGAGCTCTCTGTAAAAGCAGCTCGCCTATGAGAAAGTCTCCTAACCTGGGCCCTAGGCTGCCTTTGCATAGCGTCCCAACCAATGGAGCAATAGAGAACCTCATTTGACAAAGGCAGATTGACGAGAGCCGGGTGCGCAATGCGAGTGACAGCATGAGTGCAGTGCTTTCATGGCTTGGAGTTTGTTGGTTGTGCCTTGGAGGCTCATCAAGCAACCGTCCCAGAGATTCTGAGCGGTTGAATGGGGGCAAAGTAGGCCACGTTGAGGGTTAGGCGACGCGCCTAGAGTTGCTTCGAGCCTCATCCTTCCGCGGCGTCGCCTATGACTGGTCACGCGACTGGGACGGAGGTAGGGCCTGTTTTGGTCATCGCTTTCGAGACGCGCAAGAGTTGCATCTGCGCGAACCAGCACGGAGAAGCGCAAACGGCTACGGTCGCAAACTCATTAAGCTGGAAGGACCGTTGGACCTCGGTCTGGAACGACGAGAAGGGGGAAGGCTAAATTTCCCGCTTTGGACGAAGTGACCGCAGCCATAAGGGGGGGACGCAAAACAACAAAACATAACTTATTTCCTTGTTGGGCCAATGTAAAAGGTGGTTTGTTTACGTGATGCTTCAGGAAGAAAACCATGAAACCTGCCTGATCTCCTGGCGGGCGTGCCCAGGTGCCTCAGTTTCAAAATTTGGAAGCCGCAGGCCGCCGCTCGCAAAAAAAACAGCGGCAGTGCGTTTAGGCAAATAAGAATGCGTGTGTGCCCCCCCAGAAAAAAAGACAAAACACAAGTCGTTTTCCTTTTGTTTCCTTGAAAGCCACAAACAAAGGTCCCAACAAAGACACACCCAAAAGGCCTCAGCCCGGGAAACTTCAAAAGAACGGAATTCGGTGGGCTATTTTCGGGAAGTGGTGGCCCCTCAAGCCTATCGCCAATAGGCTCTGCAATGTGTGTGGTTTTTCCTCAGTGTTTCTCAAAATTGTGGACTCCGTGTGGGTGAGATCAAAAGCCAACAGGACACCAACAACTTTCGGGGGGGCCTATTTTACAGTAACTCCTCAAAAGAACTGCTTGCACCATGCCGCTTTACATGGCTGACGGCCCTGGTCACATGCAGCATGTATGTTTTTTCCTACGAGGAATGCCTGCCATCGAGTGCTCTTCACGTGCTAGTTTCAGTGATTCCGTGACCTACGAAATCATTGCC